ATCTATCTATCTATCTATCTATCTATCTATCTATCTATCTATCTATCAATCAGTATATAAAGAACATTATAGACAACTCTCAGCACCCTCGTCACTAAAATAAACTGCTACTTACTACTTGTACTACTATTCCTACTTCTCGGTTTTTCACTTATCGCGGGTCTTCAGGGTACAGATCCCCCGCGACAGACGAGGAACTACTGTAATTGGATCGTCAGCCGCATGTGTCTGATGACGAAATCTAAAGCCCGACACCGTCCTGTCCCGCACATTAAGCACATTATTATGGCCCGGGTTTGGGTTAGAAATTAATGTTTATTTCATGTCTAATTGAATGTTTCAGACCCCTGGTTTACATCCACAAAAAGACAGGCAGTTCCTCCTGACCTTCTCTGCTTTTAACACTCCCCCGTCCAGAACATCTCTGTCAAATTTCAGATCTGAACCCAATATGAAAATAAATAACAATTCTTGTTTTCTGTCCTTCAAAAAGAGTGCCCTACTTCTTAAGCATCGTATCAAAACAATGCTGAATGAAAAACGTAGTAGTCAAATCTTTTCTCCAACAGACTGAACTCGTAGCCACTTTAGTTCCTCTACGTTCTTCAGGTAGTAGAGCTCCATAAAGCCCAAGCACAGGTTATCTTGTATAAAACTGTGAGTGTTCACCCTTACCTGCGTGTAGGTTGCATGATTTTACTCGCACGAGGAACTCCGCTTGTTCCGATCAAGGAGGCAGGGCGAGGAAGCGAGCTGCGGGGGGCGGCCGACTGGTTGGTGCTGGCTTTCAGGCTGTGTGGCAGCAAGCTGCTGCTGCTGCTGGTTTTGAGGGGATGAAGCGATGCAGCACTGCTAGGGATGGAGTGTAAACTGGTGGAGGTGGACAGGGAGGTGGGGCCCTGCTGCACTGTGGGGCTTACGTAGGCCGTGGCTTTATGTGGGTGTCGTGAAGTGGAAGGGAAGTTTCCGACACTATGGACTCGCTGACTCAGCTGACCTGGGGGAGGGACTGAAACACAACGAGAGACGATGATGCTACGTCTAAAAATACGAGTAACATGAACTCTGTGAGGTTCATTAATAAAATCATCAACAGCAGCATCTTACTGGAAGACTGGAGGCGAGCAAGCCCATTGGATGAGTCAAAGCTTTGGCTGTTGCGGAGGGAGAGCATTGTTGGCAAAGAGGAGGGGCCATGGGAGGGTGGGTTGACAGGGGAAACCAGGCATGGAATACTGGGAACACTGGGCATGCTGGGAGCTCGGATCAGGTTGGGCATGCTTCTTCGTAGCTTGTCTATGCAACAATATCAACAACTCTTATCAGGTCTTGCAAAAGTAAGACATGCAAGACAGAGTTCATTTGGAGATTTTATTAATTAATGTTTTAACTTCTCAGTTATAGAAATATTTAGGCTTTTTGGAGACATCTGTTTTTATCCTGAGAAAATTAACTTTTATATTTTGATGTTGCTATTACTTAAAGGCTAATCTAACCAAAAATAAAATAATATTTTTGGTAAATAATAGGGTAAAGGATTTATTAAACACTCACCTGTGCTGCTCCTGTACGCTGTTTGGTTCTCTGTCATCAGGCCGGAGGCTCCAGAGAGATGAGAGAGTCCGCTGAGTGAAAACTGAGCGCTGCGTCTGCAGTCTCTGATGCTGGAGAAGGTGTGAGAGTGGGGCAGGCTGCTCCGCTGCATGGACCCGGTGCGGAACAGTCGGGGCTGGGGAGGTGGCAGCTGGTCATAACCCTCGTCATCCTCCTCCTCGTCTTCCTCCTCAAGGTCCATCTCGCTGCGCCTGAGGGAGTGCAAGGAGAAGCTGGACCTGCGACTGCTGGCTGTGGCTGAGGTAGAGGCGTAGTCCTGTCGAAGACCTAAAAGAGCGTAGAGCAGAGGTTTTAGCTTTTATTTGTGAAAAAAATTAAACCTTATTCTTACAGTGACATGATATATTTCCTTTTGGAGGCACCTCTTATTAATTATTCAGTCATTGTACAGGTAAAACCAGACTTCTGCAAGCCTTTTTCTGAAAAGCTCACATTTATTGTAAAAGTAAGACTGTTGAAAACCATTGTCTAAAACTGGACAGACATGAGTCCAGCTGTATTTCTGATGGAAAGTGTCATTTTAAAAATACATTGTATGGTGCTATTTATCTATTTCCAGTAATCTTTTATAACTGGACAGTCCCAGAAGATATGGAAATGGTTTGCATTTTGATTCCCACATTTTCTCCAGCAAGTAGGAGGGCTTCCAACATAGTGGCATTTCTGAGCGGGTGTCATAAAGAATCTTACAAGGTTTTTCCATCCAATTTCTTGCCATTGTAACGATTTATTATATGTCCACTGGCATCTCCATATTGTTACCCTTTCCTCCTCTGTTGTTAAGTTGCCCTCTCTTTCCCATCTTTCTTTAATGATGAGTCCAGCTACAGGCAAGAGGTGGAACACCTGGAGAGCTGGTGCAGAGAGAATAACCTTCACATCAATGTGAAGAAGACAAAGGAGATGATTGTGGACTTCAGAAGGAACAAAAACACCTACACCCCCCTGAACATAAGAGGATCTGCGGTGGAAGTGGTCTCCAGCTACAAGTACTTGGGTGTACACATGAATGACAACCTCAGCTGGAGCAACAACACCACCAGCCTGATCAAGAAAGCTCATCAGAGACTCTACTTCCTCAGACGGCTGAGGCGAGTTGGTCTGGGAAGCTCAGTCCTCACCTCCTTCTACAGGTGTGCAGTGGAGAGCATCCTGTGCTCGAGCATCAATGTGTGGCATGGAGGCTGCACAGCTGCAGAAAGAAAAGCTTTGCAGAGAGTGGTGAAGGCTGCACAGAAATCTGTTGGAGTCAGTCTCCCCACCATCACAGACATCTACACCTACAGATGCAGGAAGAGGGCCACCTGCATCATGAAGGACCCCACCCACCCAGCACACACACTTTTTGCCCCACTCCCCTCAGGAAGGAGGTTAAGGAGCATTAAGTGTAGAACCACTAGACTGAGGAACAGCTTCTACCCTGAGGCTGTTAGACTCATGAATCTCTAACTAGAATAATCAATGTGAAAAACCACATCATGTTGCTGCTGATCTGTTTCATGTTGCTGCTGATCTGTTTCAATGTTGATGTGTTCATGCGTGCACATCCGCTCACACAGACTCATGTTCATGTTTGTGCTGATGTTCAATGTTTTATGTTATGAGTGCTTAGTGTATATTTAGTTGATGTTTTTCTTAGTTCATATCTTAGATGTTATTACTGTTTTTCTTATACATTTTATTGTCGGATGTAACTGGGACCCCGTGTACATAATTTCGCTCCACCACATGTACCACATGAGGTGCGAATGACAATAAAGAAACTCTGACTCTCTGACTCTAATATGAAGGGTTGAATTGTTTTTGAGATCTAGTAGGTTTTTAAAAATCAATTAGATTATTTGCCCCTTAATTTTTGAATTGTAAGCATTAATAAAAATTTCCATTAGGTTTAGGTTAGGTTTATATTCTTGTCAGTAATTGGCTTAATTTTAAAGCTAACAAAATTTCTTATTTGTAAATATTGATAGAAATCCTGTCTATCCAGAAAATATTTTCTTTCTAGTGTCTCAAAATCACTTAAAATTTTGTTGTTCATTATTGTGCAAAGAGCAGTTATTCCTTTTGATGTCCAATCTTTAAATCTGGCATCCAGTATTCCTTTTGAGAGCAAGATCATGTACTTTGGCATAAAATCTCAATACTTTTCAAAAAGAAACAAATATCTGATGACCATTTTATTAATAGCAAGTAAAAAGAACATTACAAGAAAATGTTTATCGCAAGACAAACCAACTCTAGACGACTGGATGGATATAACATTTAACATTCATAAAATGGGAAAAATAACAGCCTCTCTCAATCACAAGACCGAACAGTTTTGTCTACGGTGGCAAAGTTGGGTAGACTATGTGAAATTTAAAAGACCTGATTTTATTTTAAGAGACCGAGCCTGATGATACCACCCTGATAATCCATTCTCCCACAATAGACACATTTTACAATTATTTAACATTATGGTTTTATTTTATGTAATGTAGTTTTTTTTTCGTATTTCATATTATTTCAGTTTTTCTTCTATTACATTTTTTTTTTCAACTGACATAATATTTCTTGGGAAATTGGAGTTGTAGTTTTGTTTTGTATATCATAATGCACTGATACATTTAATCATTCACTATTAAGTACTGAAATGGATATTGTGATGTCGAATCCTAATGTTATGTAAAATTTGCTTCCTTTGAGAATTAATAAAGATTAAAAAAAAGAAAATGTCATGTTACTTTGGTCTGGTGAGTTCAAGTATCACTGATCCAATAATAGTCATTCTTTAGATAAAAACATGGCAGTGGTGTTATATATATATATATATATATATATATATATATTGATGCCTCAAGCGTTTAATGTAAATCATGGAAAATTGTTTTATAAATTGCACAAAAGAAGAGTTCTGAACTATTTATTAAGAATCTTAGTGTATTGGTACGCTCACCAGTCAATCTGTAAAATGGGAAAATCTGTATCTTCTTTTTATGTGAGTAATGATGTGCGACAAGGCAGCATTTTGCCTCCTTGCTTTTTTTAATGTGTATATGGAAGATTTATCTAAGCTGTTAAATCAATGTAGGACTGGCTGCTGGGTTGGCAATAGAACCATCAACCACCTGATGTATGCTGACGATCTTGTAATTTTTTGTCTGCAGCAACTGTTAGGGGTTTGCTCTCAGTATGGATTGGACTTTGATATTAAATATAATGCAAAACAGATTAACATCACGATTATCAGGAGCAAAGAGGACAGTAAATTAACTTTCCCTGACTTCACTCTGTCATACTTGGGACATTACATAACTGCTGACCTGTCTGATGATAGGGACATTTGTATGCAACATGCACAAGCTAATATGCTTCTTCAGAAGTTCTCTATGCTCAGTATCTGTAAAAACTGCACTCTTCAAAGCGTATTGTACTCCAATGTATACTGCCCACCTGTGGTGGCATTACAGAAAAAGCAGTAGGCATAAACTTCAGGTGGCGTAGACGATGGCATGAGGATGCTGCTTAAGGTGCCGCGATGGAGTAGTGCCAGTCAGAGGTTTGTAAATGCCAACGTACCAACTTGTGCTGCTGTGCTTGGAAACCTTATGTACAGATGTTTGTGTAGTTTAACAGACTCTGTAAATAAATAGCATCATTTATTCTTTGAACAACCCCAATACAAAGCTCGGTTCTTTTTGTGGAATCACTGGCGCCTTAATTTATATAGAAATGGAAGAACGTTCTATTTAAATTTTTATTGTTGTTATCATTTTCTTTTGCCTGTTTGTGTTTACTATGGACCATGTGTGTTTGAAATAAAGTTTGATTGATTGATATTACCAATATAAAGACTGAAGGTGAAGGTGGCTCTCTACGTCTATCTCTTAACAAGCTTAAGTTTTAAAATCAGACTGTTCTGTATATATTGGAAGAAAATACACTTTTAATGGTCGACTCACTCTCCTCCTGAAGTCGCGCCATGACCTCCACGTCTGTCATGTCCTGCAGTTTGTAGTTCATAGAGATGGAGTCGTCCTCCAGCTCTGACACCCCCACCTCACTGTCCAGTGATGACTGGGGCGTGATGGCTGCATGGCGCCGACCGACGTCTAAAAACAGAAGGCAGGAGTGATCCACAAGACCTTCCACTTTATAACAAATACCAGGATGCCCTGACAGATGTGGTGTTTAGGTGAATATAACTTATTACTGATGAAATAGCAGAAATGGTTGACGGAGCAGAGAAATCGTGTTGTCGGGGAGGTCTTACTGTGGAGAGCAGCGTTTGACAGAAAGGTGGGCGCTCTTTCGCTGAGGCTGCAGCCGGTCCTGAGCGGGGGAGTCGGCTGGACAACAGACTGAGCGGATGACGACAACGCAGCTTCAAGAGAGGGAAACAGAACAGGATAGAAATGATTAACCCTGCTCTAACTAAAATATAAATGAACAGGCGGACTGCATGAAATTTGAGTCTGCTTATCTCTGTGTCTTCAGGATATGACTCTAATCTCTTCTCTGTAGTTTGCTGTAATCTGATGTACAACCCAAGAGCCAGGATATTTATAAATCTAGGTTATGTTTAAACAGTAAGAGCCTGAAGTATTTTAGAGATAACTACACATTTTGGCACAAAGTCCTGATTAATCTGGACTCGAAGCAAGCTGGACGTTAAAGGAAAGAATGAGTTTATACGTCTTTGATCGATGAACATGATCATGCATATGAAAATGTGGAAAAATAGTTCAGTTTCTTTTACACATTTTGTGAACACTGTAAGACTTCATTGCTGCTATGCTACTATTCTGTGAGATTTTGTAAAAAGTATAGCAGGGTCAAAAATGTTAGAATAGCAGGCTTCAGGTTCTCACATGCACAGTAGATCAGACTTCAAAATTTCATTTTCAGTAATCCAGGTCAAACATCCAACAATGTTCAATCAGGTCATCTGGACAGTTTCTTTATTTGTTGTTGTTGAGATGTTTCGCCCTCCATCCGAAGGGCTTCGTCAGTCTGAGGAGTCACAAACAAACCCCTCCACTGTAGGAGTGCACTGCTTAGTGGGGAAAACACTTTGTTTGGGACTCCTCAGACTGATGAAGCCCTTCGGACGGAGAGTGAAACGTCTCTCAACAAAAAAAATAAAAGAAACTGTCCAGATGACCTGATTGAACATTGTTGGAGTAGATCAGACTGTTTTTACTGGAAAAATGTGAAGCTGTAAATGTGGAAAATTGTATCTTCCTCATTAAGAAAGCAGAAAAAAAAACTGTTTCTCTTTAAATTATATGTTAACATAATTTGTGTGAGAATCTGTGTCTGTCTTGTGTTCTTTCTTTAGATCCATGTATTTAAGTACTGTGTTCCCTGCCTTCCCCGGTGTTTTTCCTTCACGTGCCAGCTCTTCGCTTCAGCTTGAATCCCAGTCACCCCAGGTATTTGTCATTATGTCTCGTTAGTGTCCCTTTAAGTTCAGCTTCTTTGTGTCTACTGGTTGTCCGTGTAGGGCGGCATGGTGGTGCAGTTGCTAAAGCTGTCGACTCTCAGCAAGAAGTTTGCAGGAAGGAATCCCGGCGGGGAGGCCATTCTAGGGGGAGTTTGCATGTTCTCTCCATGCATGCGTGGGTTTTCTCCGGGTACTCCGGTTTCCTCCCACAGACCAAAAACATGCATGTTAAGCCCTATTCACATGGGATTAGTTTTACCTAGGGACCACATGATATTTGCAATAATTACGGAGATTGTCTGTGTTGTTAATCCCATGCGAATCGGCCATGTCAGTAATTTGTAAAGTAAAACTTTCCCCACAAATTACCTCCTATATTTTGCTGAACTCCAATGTCCTGTGATAAAACTAATCTAAACTAATCTAAAACTAATAAAACTAATAAAACTAATAAACGAAGGTTCTTAATGATGTTGTTGAAGCACTGGATGCTAAGGATTATTGTGCTGCACTTTTCTTAGACCTGTCTAAAGCTTTTGACACTGTGGATCATAACATCTTGTGTCATAAACTCTCAGAAATTGGTTTCTCAGAACACACCATTGGTTGGTTCTCTAACTATCTTTCAGACCGGAGGCAATGTGTTCAACATAATGGTACTTCCTCCAGTTATTTAACAGTCAACAATGGTGTACCACAAGGCTCAGTCTTAGGACCCACCCTCTTTACAATCTATATACATAATGTAGGTAAAAACATCCCTAATGCATCCATACATTTCTATGCTGACGACACAGTTGTTTATTGTTGAGCTAAAACAGTTGCTAAGGCTTTCCAGCTTCTGAAATCTGCATTTAACTACATCCAGACTGATTTGTTTCACCTCAAACTTGTCCTAAATGCCGAAAAAACCAAAGGGATGCTTTTTTCAAATAGGAAGTTGGTCCCAGCAGTTCTTCCTCCGATTTTATCCTCAAATGGTGTCCCCATTGAGTTTGTTGATTCCTATAAATATTTGGGTATCTTGGTCGACTCACATCTTTCTTTTAAGCTCCATGTGGAAAACTTGGTAAAGAAACTGAAAGTTAAACTGGGTTTCTTTTTCAGAAACAAATCCTGTCTAACCCTGAATGCTAGAAAACGCCTTGTATCTGTGACTTTCCTTCCCTCCATTGATTACGGTGACATTATTTACATGAACGCTCCTACAAGAACCCTGCAGATGTTGGATGCTGTCTATCATGGTGCACTAAAATTCATAACTGGCTGTGATTATCGTACCCACCACTGCACCCTGTATTCACTGGTTAACTGGACATCATTCACTTCACGCAGACTCTCTCACTGGTACATTTTCATCTTTAAATCACTTCTTGGTCTGTTGCCTTCATACATCTCCTCCTACATGTCTCTGCGTGAGTGCAGCTACGGAGTGCGCTCTCAGGACATTATTACCTGCAGTGTTCCCTCAATGAGGACTGAACTAGGCAAAAGGGCCTTCTCCTATTCCGCTCCTGTTTCCTGGAATATCTTACAAGAAGATTTGAAGCTCTCGACCTTGACCTCTCTAAGTGTCTTTAAGAATCTGTTGGACACCTGGCAGGGTCCAATGCTGACATGTTCCTGTTTTTAGTTTTCTACATTTGTCTTGGAATCTAGCTGTTTTTGTTTTGTTACATTTTCCTTTTAGCCATCCTATTTGTTAAAAAAAAAAAAATGTAGTATGCTTTTTTATAACTGTTTATTGTTGTTGCTGTTGTCCATTGTTGTCATCATTCTTTGTTGAAATCAGGTCTCTTGTAAATGAGTCCTCGAGGCTCAATGGGATTTACCTGTATAAATAAAGGTTGATTGATTGATTGATAATCCAATGCGAATAGGTATCTCTGTGATTTGGACAGAAATATGCAGGATCCAATTTTTTTTATTTTTTCTGTCCTCCGGTGAAACCAGACGTGCCTCCCTGCACCCCCCCCCCCCAACACACACACGCTTCCCTGCTGCACTCTTTTGTCATGTGAACCCTTAAAAAGCCTATTTTTTTTATTTTTTTCTGCATACCTCTTAATTTGAAGGATCAGCTGGTCTCTCAACAAAATTGATCAACTTCTCCTGACAGGAGTGAGAGATCTTTTTTTATACCGTCTCTCCTCATGTTTTCTTTCCTTTTCTCATCCAAGCAAAATATTATTCTGAATAAGAATAAGAGGGCCGTGCTATTTATAGCCGCACCTTTGTGCACTCTGCCCATCTTTTGGACGACTGTACGTACATATTCGCGTTGTATCTCGGTGCAATGCCAACAAAGTTTATTCTGATTCTGATACGTAATGAGGCGCTTTTAGAACAAGGCTATTTTAAATGAACGCGCTTCTCGCTTCGGCTTTTGTAGATGCTGTTACTTTCTTCACCGCAAATGAAGCCGGTGCGGAGACGCTAACCCATCCATCCATCCATTATGTTTACCGGCTTCTTCCTTTTCTGGTAGCGGGAGTCGCTGGTGCCCATGTCCAGCCATCACTGTGCGAGAGACGGGGGACACCCTGGACAGGTCTCCAGTCCATTTCAACTGGCGGGTCAGCGGCGGCCGGTGACAGCTGAGCTTAACGTGGCTTTTTTTTTACTTCTTAAACTGGACGGTCGGACCTGCCTCCTCCTCAACAAGTAGATTAACACAATTTTATACTGTGCATTCTTTAGTTTTCTTTGTGCTGATTCGTTAAACCTCATCAAAGCCTGAGACCGGCCCGGCCCGCACATTATACACATTAAACACATTATACGGACCGACTCGGTCGAGACAACGCAGCGCGTTAACATCATATCCGGAAGATATCTGTAAATTTCAGCCAAATCTCAGACTTTGGTTGTCCCGTGCAAATGTGCCACATAAAAAGCAGACGTTGGGAGTAATTTATTTATTACATGTGGTCCCGAGATAAAACTAATCCTGTGCGAACAGGGCTTTAGGTTTATTGGTAACGCTAAAATGTCTCTAGGTGTGAGTAAGAGAGTGAATGGTTGTTTGTCTTGTTAGGTCCCAAAAATGGGGTGGGTTCCACCGCTAAAGGCATTGTGGATAAACCACGCAATCGGCCCGAACTAGTTACATAGGAGTACCAAAAGGTCCTGTGGATAAGGGGCTTATGTGTCCCTGTGACGGACTGGAGACCTGTTCAGGGTGTCCCCCGCCTCTGCACAGTGGTTGCTGAACATGGGCACCAGTGACCCGAAAAGTAAGAAGCAGATAAAGATAATGGATGGATTGTCCATGTATTGTACTTCTCACAGCTGCCATGCTCCGTCTTCCTCCGTGTCTCCTTGATCCTGTGATGTTGTAAGTTTTGCTGCCATGTCAGCCTTTGTTTTCATATTTTGTTAATAAATTATAATTCTTTATTTTATCAAGTTCCCCACATCTGTCTGCACTCTGGGTTCAAAATCCTTCAGAACATGATAGTTTGGTTGTGAGAAGAAAGTCAGACACAAGTTTAAATCAGAAAGCATGAATTAAAAGCTATGTTATTGGCAATAATACCAAAATACCTCATGTTTATAGGTTATCGTAAACAAACTTCACAACGTAGATTAGGATTTATTACATCCCCAAAACAATCAATCAGTTTGACATATTTCAGCATTATTTGTAACAAAGCTAAAACCTTTGATGGCTTTAAATGATGATGTTCATTAGAATGACTCTTGGTGTTAGTGGTAGCGGTGGGCACGTCTTTGTGTTACCTGGGCTCTCAGTTAGTGAAGCAGGTTTAGTGTAAGGCAGGACGGGACAGCTGAGTGTGGAGAGCCCCTCTATGCAGCTGTACGGACGGACGGAAGACACTCCTCGCCACCGCTTCGCTACGAGAACAAGATTACAGAGAGGCACATGTTAGACCGATCCTTCAACATGTCACACACAGCATGCTGGCTGATTTATTTGAACACACAAAGTTAATCTGCCTCTTACAGATCAGTATTGATGTTGTGAACGATTGGGTCAGAAAAAGCAGATGCAGTAGCTAAAGGTTAAGCTTCCTGCTACAGCTTAAATGGCTAAAGCTGGCATAGTTTATGGGAATAAATGACAACTAATGGGTTGCATATTGCTTGCAGCATAAGCCACTTGTCTGTAAGCCAATCACTGATTTGAAAAGCTTGACACAGGATTATTTGAGGCTTGCCAGGCTTCTCTTTAAACTCCAATTCTCCTCATTATTGCTCATTGAATTTCAATAGGTAAACCCTTAAAGCAAGGCTATGTTTAAATGTTGTGGACAAATAATATCATACCTGTTGTAGATAGATATTTGAACATCCTCTGTTTGGTGAAATATAGTTTAAATGTGAACAGACTATTAAGCTAAAGGAGTAAGGGCAAGAGCTTGTGCCTCAAAGCAACTTCAATCCTAAACATTTTAAAGCAGCTCATGAGAACCTTTTTAAGCACGTTTTGCTAAAATACTTTGGAGATTGGAGCAGTTTTAAAATTACAGCAATCCACTTTGGTTGTCATTCTGTGCAGATTAGCTGTTACAGTCCCATCAGAACTAAATTTAATTTTTCCAAATAGAGGTTGGTCAAAGAGCTATGCACAACAGTTAATATATGTTTTGTTTATACCCTTTCCACACACAAAAAAACCCTTTCAAAAGATCCTAATTATTACTTTAAGCCTATGCATATTTCATTCACCGTGCAAACACTGTTTACCCCCCACTTATAAATGTGCCCTCATTTAGCATTCCTCAGACAATTAGGTTTAACCACTGCTTGATAAATACTGCAAGTTACATAACTACTTCTTCTGGATCTCAGACACAAGGATGTATTCAGGATCCAGAAGAAGCGAGCCAGCCAACTTTAGAAAAAAAAAAAAAAAAAAAAACCTGAAAGTCCAAAGACACAAATCAACAGTGACACTGCTGATGTTGGTTTCTCAGTCGCAGTGCGAACACACACTGGGTGATAATTTCATATGTGATATAAGATTAATCCAATTCAGTTCAGTTTATTTATATAGCACCAAGTCACAACAGAAGTCATCTCAGAGCACTGAACAGAAGAACAGAAACATTCATATATCTGTATATATAAAAAGCAAGTTAATAACATTATTTATCTGAGGAGCAGACTGATTTGAGTCTAACTTCATCGCAGTCTCCCAACCTGAACAAGCATGAAGGCGACAGTGGAAAGGAAAAAACTGCCTCATGAGGAAGTAACCTCTAGTCCTGAGGCATTCAATTAAAACTCACTGAGGTCCAGTTACTAAAATTTCTCCTAGTAAAAGGTCCGAACGAAGGCCCAACGTTTGACTTTTATGGTCTTGCCTACCCATATTCACATTTTCACTGTTAACAATCTGCACTATAATAAACAACTAGCTCTTTTACCATATTTAAAAGTCGTCCCAGGCAAATCAATTTAAGACCTTTATTTCAGATTAAAACCAAAAGCTCAGAATAAAATACATCTTAAATGTGCAAACAGTCCCTAATAAGCCTTTTTCTCTTAAGAGGTCCAATAATTGAAGGCTTACACTTAAAGTAAAAAAAAAAGTTAATATCCTTAAAAAAACAGAAAACAATAAAAAGTTGCTCTTTTAGTGTAAAATGTGTAAACAGAGGAAGTAAACTTTTTCTCTCTCTCTCTTTTTTTTTTTTTTTTTTTTTTTTCTTAAAGAGGCACCAACCTATAAAAATTTAAGTTTTCAAGTAAAACACGTCAGCATATTCAGAAAACAATAAATAAAAATGTCTCTTTAGGAAAAAAAAAAAAACTGAAAACAGAGCTTTTAACATCTTTTCTCTTTTGATGATTATTTTACTTTTCTTAATGAGAGAACTGGACATGGGCTTGTCCTGCCAGTAATTTAAGTCTTGGTTGACGTCAGCGCCACTCAGTAACATCTGACTCATTGATGACTCTGAACAGCTGCATCCAGCTGTGCCAGCACATCATCTGTTAATATTTCAGATTTTCTGCTTGCTGTTGAAGCTGACCGAGATTTGTTAGATTTTTTTTTCACACATCTCATCTTTTTGTTTTCCATCAAATGTCTCAGCAACAGCATAAGCACTCCTTCACGACTGTCCCGTTGAGTGAACGTTCAGCACGTTGCTGGGCTGTACAAGTACACGTTTTCAGCATAAACTTTTTTTTTTACTTTGGAGCACGAGATGCTCTCTTCCTCTCTGATCTGCTGCACCGGTGCAGGGAAAACAAAAGATATGATGGGCTCATTAACTGAGTGATGCTATTACTGTAACACCTGAAGTAGAGTGAACCTCCAAAACACACCTCCTGCTTCTCTGCTTGGCTCTGCACCTAAGCTGTCTATCACTGGAAAAATGCTCCATGAAAATGATCTATTTTTGTGAATTTATCAGATTGGGCATGAGTCCGGACAGAACTATCACTCAGTCTGGATATGGACCCAGGTCCGCCTAGTGACCTCTGCTCTAGCAGAACCAGGCTCAGGACAAGCAGACATCTGCTTTGACCAGATGGGTTTGAGAGGAACAGTAAGGAGGAACAGATACACAATGGCAGGTCGAGAATCACATGTTAAGATAGAAATACGTGATCTCAATGTTCCTCACTACCTGTGCAATAACCTGTCACACAATCTGTGTAGTTTATGTTGGCTATGTGCAATTTATTTCATGTGCATTTAAGCTTATATCACTACCTGTGAAATACTTTTTGATACAAATTCATCCAACCTGCACCGTTACACCATGTTGTTGTTAACTATGTTTCTTTTAGACCTTGTAAATATCATATTTCTTTTTCACTTTTTGGCACTTTATTTTGTACCCTTATTGCATGCTTTCGCATGTCTTGTTATTTTTGTTGTTGTTGTTGTTGTTGTTTTTAGTGAGTCAAATTGGTTCTTCTCATCTTGAACATTTCATTGCACTGTTGACCCTGTGTTAACCTGCATATAGTAAGTGGACTGTACTTATATAACACTCAAAGCACTTTACAACACAATCTGTGTCCTCATTTACCCATTTATACAGCACTCTACTAGATCTATGCAAAGCTAATTGAACAAATCATTCTAAAGAGACTAATCAGTGCTTTATCACATTCATACGCCAGTGGGACATACATTTTCAGTTCAGGTTCAGTGTCTTGCCCAGGGACACTTTAGCAAGTTGGAGTCGAACCCCCAACTCTAGCATTGGAGGACGACTGCTCTAACCACTCAGCCACAACTGCTCCATATGACAAATAAAATAAACAACATAACATTATTCAATCAATAAAAATGTACCGGTATGTGAATGTTTCTGTTCAGTGCCCTGAGACGATTTTGTACAGTTACAGCTTTGTTAGCAAAGGTGCCTGTGTGACAATTGAGACTGAGCTTTGGCTCAGAAATATGTTTCTGTTGTTACTTTATGGAAAGAAAAAAATATTGATATATATATATTGTGTATTGCCATATATCTTAAAATATTGAGATATTAATTTTGGTCCATGTCGCCCAGCCCTAGTAGTTACAGCCAGTTATGAATCTTAGCGCTCCAAGGTAAACAGTATCCAACATCTGCAGGGTGCTTGGAGCATTCATATAAATAATGTCACCATAGTTAATGGAGGGAAGGAAAGTAGCAGCTACAAGGTGTTTCTTAGCATTCAGAGTTAAACAAGATCTACTTCTGAAAAAGAAACCCCATTTTAATTTTCATAAGTGAACGTGTTTTTCACAAGTGAAAGCTGGATTACAAGCTGAAACTTAGTTACTTTGAATGAGGACTCTAGCTGAGACGGGGTTATGAGATTATAATTATCAACAACAACAACAAAAATCTGTTGCACTTAGGGGTGCAGAAAAAAACCAGATTTTTCAAAGAATCTAGATTCTTAGTCCTGGTGATTCTGAATAATTTCTAAAGGTCCAAAAATCGATTTAAAAATGCATTAATTTTTAAAATTTTTTCCGCTCCTACTCCCCGTTCGGCCACCGTAGGGGTGCAGGTTTATTTTTAATACGCTGGATTCAATGTACGTTATTCCGTCATGTAGATTTTTTTTTTTTTTTTTTTGCGATAAAGCAGCTCCACAACTTCACCATGAAACAACAAATGGGAGAAGCTCTGATGCAGCTGCAGCTCAAAGGTAACTGTTTTTTCTCATATTACACTATAACTTATAGACAAGTTATAAAACAAACTTAATGTAATTTGTCTTTTTATCAGGTTGAAGAGGACAGATGAGACACATCACCTGGAGCCAGTTCTAAATGATACAGTTTATGGTTTATAAATTATAGTTCAGAAGAGGTTTTTGTGCAAACTTGCACAGGTTTTGAAATTGTGTTAAATATTCACTAAATATGAATCAATATGGTGAAGACTGTGAAGTCTGTATATTTCATATTAGGTTAAGTTTTGAAAATATAACAAATGTTAGAGCAATATGGTTAAAAATAATTGAAGTCTGTATTTTATTTTGTGCTAAAGGTTAATGTACTATGGTAGGCTGAAGTCTGTTTACTTTTGTATTTATATATTTTGAATTATTTGTCTGTGATGGACTGGAGACCCGTCCAGGTGCCCCCCACCTCTCACACAGTGATGGCTGATATGGGCACCAGTGATACCAGTGACTCGAAAAGGAAGAAGTGGATAAAGATGATGGATGGATGAATTATTTTTTGGTAGATTTTTATTTTATTTATTTGTGTTTGGAAAAATTCAGGCAACTAAGTTAACCTAATACTGGTAATTTAAGTTACAGAATTGTATGCACTCCTATATTTTTTCCTATTTTTTGGTATAAATATAAAATGAATAAAAAATATTTGATACAGTAAGGAACCTAAAATGATTTTTAAATAAATGTTATATTTATTTACATTGTTGTTTAATCTTTTCAGCTTGTCAGTTACATAATTGAAACAAAATTTATGACCATTTCAATAGAAAAATCGTTTCTGAATCAAAAATAGTTTCCGAACTGGAAAAAAAAATAAAAAATAATAATAATAATAATCGATTTTATATCGTATCGTGACACCAAAAATCAGAATTGAATCGTATCACTAGACACTGAGAGATTCGCACCCCTAGTTGCACCTATTTGTTAGTGATTTTACCAAGCTAGTTTAACCAAAACCATCTGTAAGTTAAACACTACACAATTCACAAACATAGTTAATTATACATCCCTGATAAACAAAGATAAATGTTAATTTGCCTTTGAGTGATCTGCCTCTTAACAAAAAAAATAAAGTTTTTATTTTGTTTTACAGGACACAGTATGGAGGATGCTCGCATCACCCCAGCCATTTGTCTGTGTAAGTCTTCCAGGCCACAAGCTCGTCACAGAGACGGCCACTAGCTGGCCATCAAGGTTGCAGATGATAGAGAGAGTGCTGGAGCAGGAAAGAGCACTTTCTCAAGTCCTCTCTGCTGACACAAAAACCTGGCTTCTTGTCCCTACATGGCAGGACATGGAGGTTCTGGAGGCAGTTCAGGAAGCTCTGAAACCCCGTCAGGACTTCGCAGATGCTCTTTCAGGTGACGAGTATGTGACTCTGTCCTATGTCAGACCTGTGCTACACCTGTTTAACACTAGTCTCCTGGCCCCTGCAGAGGGGGACAGTGAGCTGTGTCAATCCATCAAGACCAGCATTGTGGATTACCTCAACAATGAATTTGCAGACCTGTCCACTAGTGACCTGTTGGACATTGCGGCTTTTGTGGATCCAGGATTCAAGATCAAGTACACCCTGAGGGAGAACACGGATGCACTAAAAAAAGTCATCTCGGAGGTGGAGTCTCTGCTCAACTCTCAGAACAGACGTTTGTCCGAGCCACCTAAACCAGCAACGCCTGAGTCTGCAGACCCAAAGGAAGCGGCAGTGGCATGCACGGCTAAAAAGAGGAGAACACTGGGAAGCTTCTTCCAAAACACAACAGCCACCACCAGCACACAGGAGGCAATAAAACAAGAGCTTTTTAGCTACCTGTTAGTTTGTGTGGAGAATGATGCTGACCCTTTCAAATGGTGGAAGAAGCATGAAGTTGCCTATCCAGCACTGAGCCAGCTGACCAAGAAATACCTCTGTGTGTCAGCCACCAGCTCCCCTGGAAGGCTTTTCAGTTGCAATGGGAACATTGTAACCTCCCACAGGGCATCCTTAAAACCTCACACTGTTGACACACTAGTTTTCCTGGCACAGAACCTATAATTGTACAGTACTTGACCTGGCCTGTTGTGTTCTCATATATTAGCATGTTGATTGGAGATTTGCACGAGCTGCACCGACTCATGTTCAGGCTGCTGTTTAATACACTGTATTGTATTACATTAGTGTAGCGTATATCTTAGATCCTTATATACTGTTTCTTTTTTTAATACTTCATATTTTTATTATTTTTGGGTGTAACTGGGACCTTGAGTACGCAATTTGGTTCCACCTCGTGTACCACGTGATGCAAATGATAATGAAGAACCTTGACTAAAAGAATGTCATTTTGTTCATTTCATTTAATTTGTTGACATGTTTTTTTAATTTGCCCAAAGTACTAGTTTCTTGTGCTGGAGCACACATGAGTGAGCTCTTTGGTGAACTTCTACTTGATTAGAATAAGACGTTTTAAAGAGCAAGTCAGCTGTTCGTTATGTTTGCTCTGTATCTTTTCTGTTTTAAATTTGAAGTGTTTTTGGTTTTGTTATGCTGGAAAATAACTTTTTTTTTTTTTTTTTAGACATTTCTTTTGTACAATTAAAGCTGTTTGTTAATAAAGGTGCCTGTGTGACAACTGGGACAAAGCTTTATTAGTTTATGGAAAGGGAAAAAAGACATTTATCACCATTCATTTTAAGAATATTGCAATATTAATGTTGGTCCATAGCGTCCAGCCCTAACAGCATGAGAATATCTGATCACAGGACATTATTTTAAAATCAAAGCAGCAAATAGCTCCACATGAAAAAGTATGTGCTTTTCTATAGTCTCATGCAAAGGCTGTTGGAGCAGCTTCAAAAACCTACTTAATATAACCAGAGTTTCTATGGTTACCATATCCCCACGCATGTGAGACTCAGATCTAAAACTGGGTCCAGCAGCACATAATGCCACATAAGTGTACTAGTTATGGTGTTTATCCCTATAAAAATAAATCATATTATCATATTTGGAATCTCAATAATCCCTTGTCCCAAATAATGTGATTATAACTACAAATACATGTTATGGCCAGAACTGCCCCCAGACACAAATAAAAGTAAAATACACTCACATTTGGTTCTTGCTGAGGTGACTTTACAAAAATTACAGCTTTGTTTAATGTAGATTAGTAAAACAAATGAGTTATCCAGATCTTAATTTATGCGGGGAGTTTCTAATGATGCACATTAAAGTGAAAACTAATAGCTGAGTTTATATATATATAAACTCTGGAAAGTGAAATCAGATTTCCAACAAATCGAGCACAAAGTCGTGTTTCATCACCATGTTTCTGTGTATTTTTCCACTGTCCTACATTAGATCTACAGCTGTGGCTGACCAGTATGAGCAGCACAAGATGGAAATCTGTTTGAACCCAATGTGGGACAGGATGCATTCTGACGGAAAAAAAAATCCAAGCTATGATTAGTCTGTTCCTCATATGTACAGGAAACAAAAACTTTTTATGTGTTCGATGAAATATCACATTTTCTAAATATGTCAGCGTGGTAAGAACTAGTCACTATTTCTCCAAATTGAGATTGTTCAAAGAACTATCTACAACAGGTAAGATATTAACTTTATAAATTAGAACTTCTAAAAATTCTTCAGTATTTCTTTAAGTACAGGTATTTAATTTTCCCATACACATAATTATTACTAATGCAGTTGTTTAATGTCACATTGTGAATTGCTCTGAACAGAAATGTCCAAAACAAATAAATTGATGATAAACACTTTCTAAAGTGGCACATATCCCAAAACATATTGGTACCACTTAACAATAAGGCTCCCCTTATGATAGAGTTTATAGATACATTATTAATTCCTCTATAAATACTATAAATCATTAATAACTGCTTATTATGCATTAATTAAGGGTGACACAGAGAAAAAACTGACCAGTTTGTTGCCACATAGTGAGCCAAATCTGTTTACCTATATATTTCATCTAGAGTTGTTATATTAAACATTTCAGACTAAATTACTACCTTGTGAGCACAATAAGCATTTGTAAACCTATTTAGCATATAATATTGTACTTTATCACTGCATTATAAGTATCTACAACTAATATTATAGCCAAAAAATAGGTTTACAAATGCTTATTGTGCTTACAAGGTAGTAACTTAGTCTGAAATGTAACAAATCTAGATGAAATATATAGGTGAACAGATTTGGCTCACTATTTGGCAACAAACTGGTCAGTTTTGTCTCTGTCACTCTTAATTAATGCATAATAAACAATTATTAATGATTTATAAAGTGTTTATAGAATAATTAATAATGTTTCTATAAACCATTAGCCATCTATAAGGAAGCCATCTATAAGGAAGCCATCTATGGGGTGGCAGTGGCTGAGTGGTTAGAGCAGTCGTCCTCCAGTATGAGAGTTGGGGGTTCAATTCCACCAGCAGTCATGCTGAAGTGTCCCTTGGCAAGACACTGAACCCCTCACTGCCTTCGATGTGTGTCCCATCAGTGTATGAATGTGATAAAGCTCTGATTATAGAGCTGTATGAGTGGGTAAATGAGGGCACAGGTTGTGTTGTAAAGAGCTTTGAGTATCTTGATAAGATAGAAAGGTGTTATATAAGTACAGTCCATTTATAACGGGAGCCCTTATGGTTCCCATATTTTTCTACATATTCAAAATTTGGTTTAACCTATCTTTGAGACATTCATCATTACAGACTGGAGCCAGCACGGTCAGAGGTGTGTGCAGATGTTGATCCAGCTGTTCTAAACATTCTACCTTGATCAAGTCTGTGACAGAAGGTCATCTTAGCCAGCTCCACCTCAGGCCCAGGATGGTCCAGGACCTGCCTGCACCACTGGAGAGGGCTGACGATGCTTTCACTCTGGAGCTTAGCTTTTGGAGTCACATAAAGCCTGGAACATAAAGAGCATACAGTCAGTCATGTCCTGCACCATTAACTGCACAGCCAGTTAAAAAGAGTCAACACTGCTCCACTTATTACGCTTAGAGAAATATTTATCCACAAAAAATGACAGGTCATGAGCTCCACGGGTGAGTTTTACAGTGTTTTGTTAAACTGACCACTTTAACTCAACCTGTGAGATTTTTGGGAAAACCAAACGATTTTCAACAAAGTGCATAAACAACCTCATGGATTCATTCATTAAAAGCAGAACATTGTGAAAAATAATCAATCGTATACATTCCTTCAAGGAATTCTTTAATCTTATCTGTAATGTACAAAACTAAAATCATGTTGAGGTGCTAAGGCTCTCGATCAAAAGGCAAACAAACTTAAGATAAATAAGGATGCAGTTCATCAAGAAAATGGTTGAGCTTGACAAAAGCACATAAGTACATAACTTGCCTTCTTGCATGACAAAGCTTTAGACGATCTGTAATCATGGCTGCTGTTTTGGAACCAGAAAGTGACAAGTTCAATTCCATGTCCGTGAAGAAGATGCCTAATCCCGAGCAGCTTAAATTGATGCCCACTGCTCCACTTGTGTGTTTCACGTGTGATGAGTCAAATACAGAAAACATCATACAGTGATGACAACCCATAGCACTTTCATGATAAGTCTCAGCTACTACCACACTAAACATTAGTTCCACATCTACAAATGGCCTTTATGTAAGGTCATTTAGCTGTGGTGGCATTTTGAATTGAGTTGAGTCCAAAAGTACTCAGTTGTACATCTAATGATTACTCTCTGAGAGTTTTGTTAAATCTGTCTAATGGTTCATGAGATATTTTGCTAACAGACTTACCTATTGCAAATGGACCTTAGTTTTCTGAGTATGTTGTCTGGCTCACACTTAAACTAGTGTATCAAACTATTTTATAAAACAATAGTAACGATGATTCTGCATGTCATCAGAAATGTACCATAGGACTACACTGGAGTCCTGACATGTCTACTCAGGGACTATTCAAGAGGATGAACCCAAAGCAGGCAGAGCGGACCTTTAACTCAACAATTAGGTCAGTGGTAGCTGACTTTAGGGTGAACTTGTCATGTTAAATGGAGGCCAGCACATACTGGATGCAGGAAAGAAATGCTGGATCCCATCAGTGCAGCACTCAGCTGTGAACTCCATTTTCCACCTCAGATACACAAAGCTGGTGTAATACTTCAGCAGTCAGCTCGTCGGTCGGTGTGCGAGCTTCTCAAGTCAGCAGCTACTGTGCTTCAAAGTAGTTCAGCCCGGGGCTGAACAGCACGCACACAGCAACGCTGTTTGATCGCACACTGAAGGGGGGCATTGTTTCTAAATTCATCCCACAGCAGACTCGTTCTGAACGCCTACCTGTGCTGCATGCAGGGTGCATACAGAAGCATTTTCTCCCATTACCAAGAGTCTTCCAGCTTAATAAGTGAGAAAGATTAATACTCAGATCAACAAGAGGCTGCATGGCAGAGCTGCACTTCTTTTATTTCTTCTTGAAAATATTGTTTCTAATGTGAGGGGCTTTCTGAATTCAGACTAACAGATCAGGAGCTCTGAGTTTCAAAATTGCAGTGAGCTCACATGCATATCCCTCTCCCTCCCCTCCCTCCTGAGGGTGATTAGGGTCTTCGTTCCCTTCTCAAACTATCTTCTCTGTCCAAAATATGAACATTGCTGTCCTCTCTTTCCCAGTGTTGTAATGTAACAACGTAGAAATACTTAGGTACTTAAGGAGAATTGTGACATATTTTTACTTTACTTCGTTATTTACATTTCAAGCGGCTTTCACTTTTACTTCAATACATTTCCTCAACAAAATGTGTACTTTTACTTCAATACATTTTCCTTAACCATTTTAGTTACCAGTTACTACAATTTAAATTTAGAAGAAATCTGATTGGGCAATGCCTGTTTGTTCTCCCAGTTTGTGACTTCATGCGACCACTTCTCTCTCCCTCACTGACACTGTCAATCACAAACCCAGCCTCTCCCCCGCGGCTTGTGTGAAACCTGCAGCTCCCGCTGTGAACAAGCAAGAAGTATGTACAAATATCAATCGTTACAGTACGTCTTTGTTGATTCACAGTGGAGACACATTCCTGATAAGTCCTGATGCATGCTCAATAATCCAGGTAGAAAAATCTAAAAATGTTCTATCTGGTCCTCTGGACATTCAAAAAACAAAACAAAGCAAAACAACAACAACAACAACAAAAAAGTAGAAATGTTTTGTCTTTCATCCGAATGACTTCCTCAGTCTGAGGAGCTGTATTCAGCTCAGTCTTATAAATAGCACCTTCTCAGAGTGGATCAACCAGTTTGCTGCTGACAACCAAAACCAGCTGATCACATGCTCAAGAAGGACCATCAGATTAACAATGGATCATTAGCACACTGATGGCTGTTTACTATTCACAGAGGGTTGAGTGATACTAGCAATCACAGCATTGTAAGAGGGGGACAGTTGAACACGGAGGCCTCCACCCCTGTTTAATGATGGACAATTTCTTTTCACAAAGATGGCCTCCTTTACTCCTCTCTCAAACCATCGTTCCTCTCTGTCCAGGATGTGAACATCTTCATCCCTGAAAGAGTGACCGCTGGCCTGGAGATGAGTGTAGACCGCAGAGTCCTGGCCTGATGATGTTGATCTTCTGTGCTGGTCCATCCTTTTGGCCAGTGGCTATTTAGTTTCCCCGATGTAAGACTGATCACCCTCCTGACACTGAACAGCATACACAACATTACTCTGTTTGTGCCGGGGGACTGGATCTTTGGGATGAACCAGTCTTTGCCATAATGTATTTTGGGGTTTAAAAGCCACTGGGGCGTTATGTTTAGAAAATAAACATCTCAGTTTCTCTGATACTCCCTCAACATATGGAATGACCACTGGTCTGGGTCTGGGTTCCTCCTTTTCACCTGATGGCTGACTGGAGTCCTGTTTGGGTTTCTTCTCTGCTTTCAGGAAGGCCCAGTTAGGATATCCACATTACTCTAGAGCCTGTCTTGTGTGGGATTTCTCCTTCTGCCTGGCTCCTGAGTTAGTGGGGATGCTGTCTGCTCTGTGATACAGAGTCCTGATGACGCCTAACTTGTGCTCCAAATTGCCAAAACTGAGTCTGCAGTTTGACTCCCATCACCCTTTGGAGCACAAGTTAAGAGTCATCAGGACTCTGTTATTGTTGTCTTTGCTTTGTTTTGTTTTTTGAATGTCCAGAGGACCAGATTTAACTTTTTTAGATTTCTGATAAGCGTGAAAATGACGATAACTGCTAAAAAGAAGACGTTTGGTGTTCTCCAAGACAAGAACTGCTTCAAGAACATTGGAACTAGTTCCTATACTATTAGATTATCCTATAATACAGTATATCCTATATTATTAATTAGTCAGAAAGAAACAAGCCATAACCAAACAGATCCTAGCTCAGTAAACAAGCCAACTACCCAAAAATGTGAGCTGTCCAACAGCTTTGTTATTAAAGGTTAATAAAGGTTGAATACTTCATTAGAATCAGACTTTTTAAAGAACAATCTTTTATTGTTCAGGTCAAACTTTCCAAGTTTTTTCCACTGGATATTGCACCCAATAAATGTTGTTTTGGAAATTCTAACTTACTTTTACTTAATACTTTTACTTTAAGTACATTTTATAAGATACATTTACTTTTGATACTTAAGTACATTAAATGTCCGATACGTTAAGATTTTTACTTAAGTTATAATTTTAAAGGCGACTTTAACTTTTACCAAAGTAATTTTATGGTAAGATACTTGTACTTTCACTGAGGTATCACTTTGAGGTACTTTATACAACACTGCTCTTTCTGCACAACTAGCATTATTTTAAGTGACATATTTGTTGCCATGATGATGCCTTTATCTGTGTGTGTTTGGTTGACCGTCTGTTAGCAAAATATCTTATGACCCACCAGACATATTGCATTGAAATTTTCAGAAATAAATTGTTGGATCTGCATCTACGACTGGTTAACTTTTGGAGTCAGCTTGATTCAATATGGCCACCATAGCTAACCAAAATTCACACACAAAATATTGGCTACAACTCCATCAATTTTATAAATATTTCCCTAAAATTTGGTGTGGTAGTAGCTGAGACTAATTCAAAACATGTGCACATCTTTGTTTTAAACTTTAGCAACAAGTCAACCATGTGTGTGTTAGCAAAATATCTCGTGAACACCTGGACAGTTATTTGTTTAGTTAACTACAAGTAATTACGTTTGAGAATCAACCAAATTTAAGATGGCTGCCACCTTCACGAACACAAAACCCCTGTCAGTTTTACAGACAACGTGGTGGTAGCTGAGAGTAGTTACCAACACACAGTCAGAGAGCTGCAGAATGCACGAGATCTCGGTGGGATCACTTTATTTGTAAGATTTAATCAAAACAACCATTACCATTTCATTTTTCAATCTCGAAATATGATCTTAGTTGCGTGCAATCATACACTGGAGGGAGGGAAGGGAGGGTGATTTGCATGTGAGTGCAAAGCAGATTTAAAGCTTCACATACGGTGAGAAGAAGCTGAGGTTTTCATTGCAAATGATTAAAGAGTGGTCGACATGAACTCAGTGCTCACCAGCTATCAGCCTCCCCCACTGAGAGCACCGTGTCCAGGTCCAGAACGTCCACCTCGTCCAGAACAGCCGCGGCACCGGCGTCCTCCTCCGCGGCGGCAGGAGACCCGGAGCTCGGCTGAAAATAGGGCAGCGGCTCCTGGGAAGAACCCCGGGGCTCGGACGCACACGGCCGGGGCCGTGCCGGACTCGAAACGTCACATTTAGCGTGGAAAGTGTCCCCCAGACACGCGCGCGGGGTCTGGAGACGCGCCGGGCCGACGGGACAATTGTTTCCAGCGCTCGCTCTGCTCCGCAGTTGTTCGTTCTGCCTCTCCAGTCTGCGCACCAGCTCCTGCAGCTTCAGCACCTCCAGCTCCGCGCTGGCGATTTTACTGCTGCCATCGACGTCTGCCATCATCTGGGGGGTCAGAACCTCTGCGTCCATTTGGTGAAGCACATTGGAGAGGAGCAGGGACTACAAAACACACAGAGAAGGTGTCCAGACCCCCCCTGTTAAAACCACCACCACACGCACACTCATGACTGCACAGCCGCCTTCTGATTGGCCAGCAGCTCGGACTTTAATTCCCATCACACCATTTCCCAGGAAGTCCTCCTTCTGGCACTCGTTGCACATCCAGCATCTGACATGTTGGTTTAACTCTTCTGAATGATGTGGAATACAGTTCTGCCACTCTGAAGAAACATATCATCATATTACTATGACATTGAAATGACTTATGAGATCCTGAGTCATATTTCTGAGATGCTTTAATTAGGAGATGCTAAGTAATGCGATTTGAGGTGTTAAGTCATAATTATCAGATGCTTGTGCCCTTTTAAATCAAAGAAGTTACAAAAAAAGTGTTACGTAAACACAACAAAACAGTTTTCAAGTTCCATGTTTAGACTGACAGACTTATTTAATAAATTTACTCCAAAAAGTCTTGATTATTTTATTTTTTTTACATTTTGCTCTCAAGAAGTCAGTTCTTGCAGTCCTTTGTACCAGTTGTGATTAATAGTTTAAGATTTCCAAAGGCTTTTCAATTATCCAAAAAAAAAGTTAAGTCAGGTCCTCTGGACGAATTCTTCTTGTTCAAACAATTCGGCTTTTATCCAAAAGACTTCCTCAGTCTGAGAAGCTGCAACAAACTCAGTCTTAAGCACCTTCTCATAACCAGTTTGCTGCTGACAACCAAAACCAGCTGTTCACATGATCAAGAAGGACCATCATCCTAACGACAAATCATTAGCACCCTGATGGCTGCTTGATAGTCACAGAGGGCTGAGTGATACAATCAATCAATCACAGCATTGTAAGAGGGGGACAATTGAACCCGGAGGCCTCCGCCCCTGTTTAATGATGGACGATTTCTTTTCACAAAGATGGCCTCCTTTACTCCTCT